ATTGCAATCTTATCTTCTATATCTGAAATTCTGTCCTCACATTGGCTCATTCTGCTGTGTAAGCTTTCAGTGGAGTTTTTAATCTCCTGGAAATCTGTTTGTATCTATTTTATGGATTCCATTTGTTTCCTATGTTGGGATTCCATCATGTTCCTTAGCTCCTCTATTTTTTTTATCTGTCTCCTCTCTAGATTTATTAATCATGTCTTGCACTATGGACACAATGTCTGCTATTATCTGACAAATTATTTCTGATTTTATTTTTTCCAGATCCTCTTTTGTTGCCAGTTCAGTGAGTCCAGGTGGTTGCGTATCAGAGTGTTCCATCTTGTTTCCCTTTGGGGTTGCTTTAAGTGATCTGGAAGTCTGGTTTTGAGACTTGTTTACATGTCTTCTCATTTCGATGGGGGGGTGGTGGTGGTTGTGGTGGTAGTGTGGTGTGTGCTGCTGGTGCCCACGTGGCTCACCTCATCTGTACTGGGGGCGGTGGTATGGCAGCCCTGGAAGCCTCCTCCTGGGCACTGGGAGTGGCTCACCTCCTCTGTGTTCATGTATATTATATTTCATAGTTTTAAAATGTTTAAATAATACATCATAATAATCATCATAAATATAATAAATAATCATCATAATACAATCTTGAACTGTATCAAATAAAATAAATAGGGAAAACATGCAAATTAACAATTATAGTTGGAAATGTTATAACATGCATCTCTAAGAGCTGTGGATCAAATAGAAATAAAATACAATAAAAACATATCCATAGGGCTGGGGATTTAGCTCAGTGGTTTCGCTGCCTGCTGCGCAAGCACAAGGACCTGAGTTCGATCCGCGGTACCAAAAAAAAAAACCAAAACATATCCATAAACACAAACCATTCTTTTTTGAACATACCTAGAAACATTACAATAATAGGCCATGTATTAGGCCATAAAGGAAGGCCTCAAAGGAAGAATCAATCCCATTTAGACAATGCTTTCCAACTGTAACGACATCATGGAATTAATGTTTTTTAAAAGAGGGCTACAGTGAAATCCTATGTCTTTAAAACTACATAGCATTAAATAACACTCAACTTAAAAAATAACTATTAAGAATGAAATGAAAGATTGCACATTAGAATTTGTGTAACACCATTGGAGCAGTACTTATGGGCAGATGGATAGCTTTAGATACACCAAGAGCAGGAAAGATTCGACACAAATGAGCCACCATAGTTGGATCCAGTCTTCCATTCTGTAGGGTGACAACTGTTGAAAAACCCAAATATGACCAGTGTTTCAAGAGTCAGCCTACTTTTAATTAAGGTATGGTTTGTATACTATAGAATGTACCCATTTTAGAAGTTTGATTTTTTTTTAGGTCTTGAATGCTCAGCTGAAGAATTTAGATGTCCAGAGCTTATAGGGTACAATACAGGGTTGTTTTTCCAGTGTAGAGGTCAAACCGAGGGCCTTGCATATACTAGGCAAGTGCTCTGACTTTGAGCTACATCCCAAGCCTACATAAAAAACACAACAATCTTGGGACCAAATTAACAGTTCCATTGTTTGCTCACTATGTGATCTTGGACACATAGTTTGAGTCTCAGGGTCTCATATCCTCATGTGTGATGGTGATGAGAATAGAGATAGACCTCTGAAAGTATGTGGAAAGGGTCAAATAAAGTATTGTAGGTGGAATGCTTGGCTCCTCTGAGTGTTATATACTGAAGGATATATATTATATACTGAAGGAGTATTTGTTTTCTTTCCATTTTACTCATGAGAATCATCGGGGTGGGACCACAACCTGCATATGTGAGAAGAATCCCAGGTGACTCTGACGGTTCTGATTAGTACAGGCAGTGGGAGCCAGGGCAGACTTCTGAGCAGGAAAATGGCCTAATTAGAGCTCTATGTGGGGCTGGAAGGCTCTCTGTGGCCTCTTTCATCTTTGTCTCCTGGCTGATATACTGATGATGCTGGTAGCAGCAATTTGGGAAATGCCAGGGCTTTCCAGTTGACTGAGGTACAGAACTCATGATTACCAGTGTTCTTTATTGAGGGTGGCTGGTGGGATAGTTCATGGCTTTCATCTCCTTTAGGATCTGCTGGCCTGGGACCCATAACCACTCATTAGTCTAGATCTCATTCTTAGTACAAATCTCCAGCCTCAAGTTCTGATTCTTCTAATTTATAATTAGAACTGCTAGGCAGTGTAGGAACGAACAGAAATCGGTGAAGCCATCAATTAGCATGACTGGTGGTGTAAGGAGTGTTTACCAGGTGGAGCCTGAACAGAATTGTTACTTATCTTTCTTGGGTGCTGGACTTCTTGGGACAAACACACATTCCTTCAGAGGACTTAATGCTGGCCGCCTACACTGTTATTGCAAGAGGATATCTGCTGTCATAACTTGAAAGAAGGAACAAAATATCCTTGGCTGACAGGCAGGTAGGAGGCTTTGATATCTTGTTTTGTTCTCAGTAGGCTTATTTTTCTTGAACTGAGGTACATGGTTCCATGAAAGTCATGATGAGGGACTTGAACTAGGCAATGATGTCAGAGAGGGTTCCCATGGAAGAGATTCTTGCTCTTGTGTTGGAAGGGAAAGTAGAAGTCAACTAGGGGAAGGGTGGCCAGGTCAGAGGTTGGAGGCAGCAGGGTACATGTAGAGTATTGTGCCACAGGGCAAAGGACAGAGTGTGGAACAACTCAAGGCCCAGCTAGCATTGTATTTGATGAGGCTAGAGAGACAGGTAAGGAAAGGACTGAGGCCGTGTAGCCACCATGACTTCGTCTTTATTCTAAAATCATCAGAGTGGAAACCCTTTTACAGCAGAGACATATAATAAATTAGATTTTCATTGTGAAAATATCATGTGGCTGCTGTGTAAAGACAAGGTTAGAGAGGGATCAGAATACTTTGGGGAGTAGTTCAGGTGAGAGATGATGGGAACTTGGTGATTTGATGGACCAGGGATGAAAATGAACCAAAGGCAGCGAGTTTAGAGAACCAGACTTGCTGATGGCATAGAAACGATAGTGTGAATCAGTGGCAGGGATTATTAGGATTGGTTCCTAGGCTTCAGACATTCTGGGAGTTCTGAATGGATGAGGGTGCCACGTACTGTGTTGGGGAGACTTGAAGAGGATATGCTTTTTTCTTTTGTACTAGGGATTGAAACCAGAGCCTTTGTGTTGAGCTACATTCCCAGCCCTGGTTTAATTTTTAATTTGAGACAGTCTCACTAAATCACTAAGGTGTCCAGGCTGGCTTGAATTTATGACCCTCCTGCTTCAGCTTCCACAGTACTATCATGCATGGTCAAAGAGGAGAAGACAGGGGTTCCCTTTGGAATACCCAGTGTTTGAGACGACTCTGAGACATCTTAGTGGACATGTCAGGTAGCTGATTGGATATATGAATCCATGTTTGGACAAGTGATCAGAGTTGGATATACAATTTTATGAATCATCATTCACTTGTAGGTGGTGACCATTGTGTCCTGCTGTCAATTCAACTCCATTGGCCAAAAAAGAGATGTCTTACCTGCTCTTCAAGCATCCCTATCCTGGTGTACATGGTAGAATCATTGTTCCAGGCATTTGATCTAAAATCTGGACATAATTTTGGATTTTTCCTTTTTTTCTACTCCTAAATCTAATTAATCACAAAATCTAGAATTTTCTCCTTTTGGATGTCTTTTGCATTTTCCCCTTTACACTTGATCTTAGCCAAAAGGCTGAGAAGCGATGCATTTTCCCCTTCAAAAAAAATTCAAACTAAAACTCTTATTATATAAAATACTTGGCAGTTGGTGTCTACATTTCATCTCTCAACTCTGTTGTCCATCCTGAACACTGTGACCAAGTTATTCTCTCTTAAATATTGCTTTCACTGTCTTATTCTTCTCACAAAATCTATTGCCGGCTTTTTATTGGTCTAAGATGAAATTCTTTAGAATTTAGGGCCTTCTGCAGTCTGTTCCCAATCTACTTCACCACTCTCTGTTCCCTAGAATTAATTTTTTTTCTTCCAGCATGGAGGATTGAACCCAGGGCCTCATGCATACTAAGCAAACACTCACGCTAAGCCAGACCTCTGCCTCTCATAGAATTTAAAAATTCTTCTAAAGTTTCAGAACCACTTGTTCAAATGGGATCTTCTTTTAAAAAAAAATGGCAGTTCCATAAATGAAGCATGTGTGGTTGGAACTTTTGGTTGAGGGCAGCTTGGGGTTCTCAATGGGTTCCATTTGCCCTCCCACTTCCTCCCTTCCATGCCTACCTGCCTAGTCCCGAGATGAGTCTCTTCAGAACTTCCTTCAAAACCTATCACCTTTGGGGCGGGGATTTAGCTCAGTGGTTCCGCCATCTGCCTTCAAAGCACAAGGACCCGAGTTCAATCCCTGGTACCAAAACAAACAAACAAACAAAAACCTATCACCTTCAAGGGAGTGCTCTTAGTAATGAGCAAATCACTAGATTCAGGGTAAGTTTCCTTCCACTGGGCCTTCGGGCTGCTTCAGCCCTGGTTGTTTGCCCATCAGGCTGGAACTCTGCCTCACAAACGGCCCCCTTGTGATGTAATAATGTCCAGAAGCTCAGCCACACCTCTGCAGCAAGTACAGCAGCACTTTTTTAATCACACTGCTTCTTGTAGCTTTTTTTGAGAAGCAAGGGGCATCACACCAAATCATAGCCCAGTTTTACAGGACAAGCAAGCCCTTGGCCTGATTTCATCTGGAAAATGTTACATATAGAGCCGTGGCTTCCAAACCTGGGCATGGGGATCTGAACTCTGTGTTTACAGAAAGCCCCTTGTTTGTTTGTTTTTTTGTACTGGGAATCAAACTCAGGGCCTCACTCTTGCCAGGCAGGCGTGGTGCCCCTGACCTACATTCTCAGCTCTGCCCCTTGTGTTAAGAACCAGTAAAACACTAAAGTAAAGCACAAAGAGGCGCGTAAGGGATGGAGACTTTGTGTTGAGTCCAGCAGTGCTGAGAGGATGTGACACCCAACGATAATAAGATGTGCTGTGTTCCCTCTATATATCACATACGAAGGAACAGAAGAGCTGGAAGTGCAGAAGTGGGTTGTCGGGGTCAAATTGCTTCCCAAGTCTAAACACCTGTGGATAATGATGTTCAGGTTTCCAGCTGGTCATTGGACATTGAGTCTGGGTCTTAAGGATGAATTGAGGGCAAGGCTGATGTAAGTTGGAGAGTGTGGCCTGCTTAGGGTAGAGTGTCCATTTGATTGGCTTTGGGATCCAGCCTAAGGATTGGGAGAGCACACTTCTAGCTATGTCTGGGTGGGTCATGTCTGGCCCCTTACCCCTTCCTCTTTGGCACCATTCCCCTCCTCTGCTTCCCAGCTGCCATGCCGAAGGAGCTTTTCGCCACTATGCCCTTCCACCAAGATCTTTCTACCTTGGAGCCAATTGACCATGGACTGAATCCTTTTAAAAGTAAGCCAGGTGAAGCCATTCCTTTAAATTGTGGGGTTTGGGTATTGTGTCCAACAATGGGAAAGCTGACTATATAGAGAGTCATCTGTAGAAAGGAAAGGGTTGAAGCTATGAAAGGATATGAGCTGTTTAAGGAAGAAGAGAGTGAGTCTTATGAAATGCTTATGTCTAGTGCCCGAGGAAAACAGAGAAGGAAATGGGAGATTTGCCCCAAAAGGAAGAAAAATAGCTCAGTGCAGTTTCCCTGTCCAGGAAGGGAAGGGAAGAAGGAGGAAGCGGCGAGTGGTCAACAGGGTTAATGCTATTCTGTGTACTTGCTGAAGAGAACAAGGAGTGAGACCAGGATAAGGAATGGCTTTGGGGTTCAGAATTATCTTGTGATTTTTTATGGGGGTGCCGTGTTTTGGATGGATGGAAGACTAGTTTCCATGCGCCAAGGAACTGAGTGGGAAGTGAGAGGTCTCCTTTCCCTTTTGGCTCTTCATAGAGATCGTTTTGATTTGAAAAGCCACTGACTACATTCTCACTCTTGTGTTATGAAGCCAACATTATCTTTTAAGGAATCCAATTACCCAATCCAGATACCTGACTATTTTAATTCTGAAAGTTGTGGTCCTTCAAAAGTGAGATTTAAGGGCCAGGGATTTAGCTCAGTGGTTCCGGTGCCTGCCTCTCAAGCGCAAGGTCCTGAGTTCGATCCCTGGTACCAAAAAAAAAGAGCGAGATTTAAGTGCTTTTTTGGGGGGCTTTGAAGAAGAGATTCTCCAGTCTTTTAGTCCTTTACATGTAATTGAGTTTCAGAACCTGCCATTGTGGAGATTCAAAATGAGGGATTTGCTTTTGAATTTTTAAATAGGTATCTCTACAGTCCTGTCTCTTTTGTTACCAAGAGTGGAAAGGTCTCCAGGAAGATGGAAATCTTATTGGTTGTTGCAAACAATCTACTATGGCTTCAAACAATTGATTTGGAAGGAAATGATTCTGTAATAGGAACATGAAATTGGTCTGTTTGAAAGTCAATATCATCTAATATTAATAATCTGGCCCTTTTTCTTGATTTCTTTATTGAATGCATGCAATCTATACAGGAAACTTTCTTTTTAGGACAAATTCCATTTTTTTTCTTCAAAATTTTGTGTTTGTGTCAGTACACATCTGTAGAATCAAAAAATGTTGATAGCACTTTCATAATTTTTTCATTCTTTATTTTAAATTTAACTTTTCAAATAATATAGAAAATTAGAAAGGATAGCATAATCAGCCCACATAAATTTAACAACTTTTAACATTTTGCCATATTTGGATCATATGTAAACATTTTACACACACACACACAAACACACACACACACACACACAGAGTTGTTCCTTGGATCTGAGGGTGGTTTCAGGATGCCCTGAAATACTGAAATCCATAATTTAAGTCTCATATGAAACAACATCACAGTTGCATAGAAACTATACTCATTCTGCCTTATACTTTAAATCAGCACAGATATTCCTCGTTTAACCACCTACCTGTTCAATGACTGATGACTGGATTTAACGACTTAGGCCTGCTGGTCGAACCTACTGACCTGCCACTCGGACTTGTCTTTTTTTCTTTTTTATGTACATCTTGTGTGTAGAACCTCAATGTCTTTTTTCTTTTTGGTACAGAACATCTTGTTTATGCAATATTGTGCTGCAATTTTTGCTGATTGCACTGAACAGTACAGTCTGTTATACATTAAATTACTGCATGTGAAAGTTATGTAAATAAAACCAAAGTCACCAGGTTGGGTTTCCTTCGACCATTTCTTTGTTCTGAATATTGTACATACTGTATACAATTCCTCCTTTAGCAACCAGTTCATTTAAAGATCTAGTCTCAGGAATGGAACTTGGTCATTAAATGACGAGTATATGTATTTCTGTATTACTTCTAATACCTAATACAGTGTCAGTGTTATGTAAATAGTTGTTATACTGTGTTGTTTGAGGAATAATGACAAAAAAGTCTGCAACTTTTGGAGGAATATTTTCAATCCATACTTGGTTGAATCTACTTGGTTGAACCCAAGGATACTGAGAGCCACTGGTATATACATACATATATACTATCTTTTTAAAACCATTTGAAAGTTAAATTACATCTATCAAGAAACTTCACCTCTAAATATTTCAGTGTACATTTCAAAAAATGACATTGTCCTAAATAACTTCACAACAATGTCACACCCAACTCGAGCAATAATAATTCCCGAGTATTTGTTTCTTCTATTGCCTACATGTTTTATTTTTAAGGTGCCATAAAAATACACTGAATATTTAAAATGTAAAACTATGTTACAACTTGCCTCAAACACACTTAACTTTCTAACCACTTTCTGGAGCATTTCTGGAAGTCTTTTCTCATGAGTGTCTTTAGTTGCACTGTTGTAAATGCCTTGAACATTTTGAATCATTCAAAACGTTTCCCTTTCATGGTTATTTTGACTTTGGGGAAGAACCAGAAGTCATACAGTGCCAGATATGGTCAATAAGGTGATTGAGGACACACTAGAATGTTTTTATTTGACAGAAATTGCCATAAACATTTGATCAACAAGGGGTGATAAAAATACAATAAATACTTAAGTTAAAAATTTATTTCAGGCTGAGGATTTAGCTCAGTGGTTCTGCTGCCTGCCTTATAAGTGCAAGGTCCTGGGTTTGAACTCCAGTACTAAAAAAAAAAATTATTTCAGTAAAAGACATATTGCCATTAATCCTTCACAAAATACTCCCCCTTGCTTTGAAACTCTTATTCCATTGTTCTTGGCAATGTGTAATAAGTTTTTTAAATGTCTTAAATATTCATAGTATTTTTCAGTCACTCCTTGTATCTGATTTGTCCAAAACAAGATCCAATCAAAAGCATTCATCATTTTCTGGAACAATCATTCCTTCCCTTTCCTTTCTTCCAAGCATATTGATTATTGAAGATATCTGACCACTTCTCTTAAGAATGTCCCACATACTGGATTTATCTGATGGCTTCTAATAGTATCACTTGGCTTGTTCCTCTGTCCTCTGTATTTTCTCCATCTGGATGTTACAAAGAACTAAAGGCTTGGTTAGACTGAAATTGAATCTGTTGCATAAAAAACGTCACAGGATACTGGGCCCTTCATATCATGTCACATGGGAGACGTGTTGACTGGGTGTCTGCTCTTGGTGAAGCTGTGTTTAGTCATTTGTTTAAGGTGGGGAGCTATACTTTTCCCTTGGGACCATAGAGTAATCTGTGGTATGATTCTTGCCTACCACGTGAAAATCCAGTTTACCATGGCCAAGTTTTTTTTTTTAAATTAATACATTAAGCTTTTATTTTATTTTAAATTTACAAATAATTTTATACATTTTAGGGTACAGTATGATGTTTCAATACAGGTATACATTGTGGAATGATCAGGTAAGGCAAATATACATACACATCACCTCAAATATTTTATTTCTTTATGATGAGAACATTTCATAAACCTTCTCTTTTAGCTATTTTGGCTCTTTTAGCTATTTTTATAATAAAATAGATTATTATTGGCAACTTTTATCACTGTGTTATGCAAGAAAGCACCAGAACTTCTTCCTCCCATCTAACTGGAACTTTGTACCTGTTGATTAATGTCTCCCCTTTTCTTGCCTACTTTCTCCAGACCATAATCAACTTTTATTTAAGGTTTTTAACATCCATGGCTTATCCTTGGTAAGATCGGTTATTCCATGATCAAATAAAAAGTGGTGATTTCCTGCTTTTACTGTTCCTATATTATTCAGCCAGCATTTACCTGTAAATATAGGGCAAATCATTACTTCTTTCCTTTTAATAGCAATTTTCAGAACCAGAAGGTGAGTGATAGTCGCTCCCATTGAGTATGTCACTAGAGAACTCATGGATTTAATAAACATATTCAGTATGTTTTACTCAATTACAATCTTCATACTTTTTAAACTAAAATTGTCCCAAATTTATCTAGTAGGTGCTTTTTA